CTGGGTGATACCAGGCAGCCAAGGGGAAAGGGTCGGCGAGAGCCAAGGAACGAACGAGGAGAGGAACCGAGAAGAGGCGACAGGGTCGAGGGAGAGTAGCTGCGGGACAGAAGGATATATGGCTGTGTATTATGTACTTGGACCCGCGCGTTACATACTCCGTCGTCGTCCACATAAAGAGCGAGAAAGAGAGCGAGAGCGAGAGAAAGAAAGATAGAGAGCAGGTGTGTGTATACGAGCGCGCGTCTATCGATGTGTGAATGCATGCGGGCGAGAGAAGCGCGTTGCACGAGCGCCGAGGGGATTTCTTCTCTTTCTCATCCTCCTACTCTTTCTTTCCCTCTCTCTTTCTTTCACCGCATGCGTATGTATGCGAAGGCTCACTTCGCACGCGAGCGAAGCTCTAACCAGCTCGAATCGAAGACGCCTGCGGACCTGGAATCACGCGAGACGCGTAAAAATGATCCCCCGTGGTCGTATGGCGAGGGGACCGCTCGAGATCGCGGCGAGGATCCATATAGACGAACAAACGAGGGAGAAATTCTATGCGAGATATACTGAATACCGTCTCTATGAACAATATCTTGGAAACGTTATTACATAATGTGTTACGGAAGAGTACGCTGCACGATTACGATGTATCGAGGCGCTGAAAATGATATTGATTGCGTAAATTAAATTTTAGAACCGAAAAGAGATTCTGTTTGCAAAGAGTTTCACGATTTATAATGAATAATCTATTTCAACTTGTTTATTGTAATCTTGTAATGTTATACGAAAAGATTGTTATTGAGTCTGCATCACGTATTTGTTGAACATAATAAAGAACACAGAATTTATATATACACTTGTAAGTAAGAATTTGTAATCATAATAATCCATTAGCAGCTGGTTTATGTTTAAACACAGTAAATTATTTTTGTAGAAAACACAAATGTTATACGTATAATAATTGATGTATGCGCTAATGAAATGAGCATACAGCTAAGCATCATGTCTCGCTTTACAGAGAGAGCTTTTGAAATTATTTTTGGATAGAAAACTGGTCTCTATCCTGATATGATCAAATCAGATTTATTGGCTACCCCGTAAACAACTACTCGTGAAATGTCGTCATGAGAATACAATATAACTATATTATTTTTTTCTTTAAAACTTAGTAATTTCCTAAACCGTTACGAGATAACGTGAAATTTATTGCTTATACAAACTAAAAGAATGTGTGATAAAAAATTCACATTTTATTCTGGATATCCCTATAAACTCCAGTTTTTGTTAATTTATGTGTAAATAATACACTTTACACTTAAAAAAATCTTCATTTAAAAATCTGTATGAATTGAAAGAGTACGTTAATAAAATTTTTTGTTACAAAAATACACAAAAGTTCGAGTTTCGTAAATGATACGTGAAAATAAAGTATAGAGGATAGATAGATTTTTTTTATTCAACACTGCACAAAAAGACTTGTAACGCTATCTGACGGTAGGTATGTATTTCTTTCATCTTTGCTCGCAGCAATAGAAGATAATTAAGAGGCCTGTGTCGGCATTTGACTCAATTGATAAACAGAAGTATTATAAATTAACTTAATTAACATCGTTACTTCAATTACTTGTTTAATTAATTGAGTGTATACTATTAATGTACAAAAGTTTTATTTCCATAAAAGTTTTTCTGTAATAATTTATAATAGAAATTCTTGATTAATTTGTACTTATTCAAATATGATTATTCATTGAACAACTAATTAACTATTGAGTAATAAATACAAATTTATAAATGTTTAAATAAACTGTTCAAATATATATTCTTTATTTACATATATAAAAAAATTATAATTATCGACAATAAAATCAGTATCAAATTATAGTTATTGAATCACACAATTCTATATGAAAGAATTATATTCTTAAAATTGGATATGTTTAAGTAACATATAAAGTGAAGTAATAAACAAAAGAATTTATATTATTCTATAAACCATACAAAAGCAAAGACTTATTATCTTTATCTTATTATCTTATTATCTTTATCTTATTATCTTTCAATAGTTCAGGAATGAGAAGTAACGCATTATTTGTTTATTGTTACCATTATTTTTTTATAACAGTGATATGGTCGAATTTTACGACGTTACAAATCAATAAAAATATTTACCTTTTTAAAAACGGAAAGATAAAGGGCATACACCACGAACGCAAGATATTCTTAGCGATTAGTTTATATTTGATTCCAAAACGTCTATGTAATATTTTTGTAATTCGAATATATGTCTTGGAATCAAATATAAATTAATCACTAAGAATATCTTGCGTTCGTGGTGTATGCTCTTTATCTTTCCGTTTTTAAATTTAGATCACGTATTGATATTTATTATTTATCTTTTTATTACCGTTGACGCGATAAATTGTAAGTTAATCTATTGTGTACTGTTGGCGTTTATAATACGTTTTACATGTCACATAATAAAAGATACTAAATATTTATGCTTTATATTTTGGGTATGTTCAAAAATTCATTGCCAGCGCTGAAAATTTATATCTTACGTTACATGTATTGTACATACTATATGACATTTTCAGCGCTAGCAGTGAATTTTGAAATAAGACTTAATTAATTATAATGTATGTTGCTATATCGTATCATTGAGCGAGTCACGTGGCTACTTTCTATGCTTGCTATACTTTCAAAGATCCGGGTTTAAATTTATCAAAAACACATATACATATTATCAGATTTTATTTAATTTATCTTTCGGAAGGCAATGACAAATGATTATCAAGAATTTTTGCCATGTGACTTCTTCTAAAAGGCCGTTCGGAATCGGTGTTAAAAACTGTAGGTAATGTCTTATAACATATATCAGTGGATATATGCAAAGAAAGTCATTACATTTCTAATAAGAGAGATGATGAACTTGAGAGAGAGAAAATGCGTTGTTTTTAATGTTTGTATTAAGAAATTAAATAAAGAAGTAAAAATTGATTAAAACATCATTTTTATTGTAAACCAAAATTCAACATTTTAACAATTTAGATATCCTACACAGCACAGAATTTGCAACTATATCGCTGCAAAAATTCTATGATATTGTTGCAACACATGTTATTTTGAGTAATAATAGTAATTTATTATAATAAAATGGTCAAAATCAATACGTGCGTAGGGATGGGTGATCACTTTGGCTCATATCATAAGGAAAGGTTAGGTTGACTTATTGTACCGCATGTGTAAACATTCATTTACAATTTAACTCTAACAAAACACTTTATATTTAATATTTCTGTATTAAAATAAAGTAGAACTAAAATAATTTATATTTGTTTTTCAGTAATGACATTTTGCTGTTTGACGATTACAAAATAATTTTGAAAGATACAATTATTACTAAGAAGTACATATCTACTCTCTAATTTTTATTTCTACTACTTTTCTATTACGTTTTTATTAATTTAATATAGAATTTATCACAAAGACAATTTATACTGTGATATGTACCAATTTACCCCACATATTGGGGCAAGTTAACTACGATGCAGTATGTTCGTATTTCATTTAATGCAAAGAAAGTAAACAATGTATAGAACTATTATTAGTATGAAAATATAGAGAAAGGTTCTCTCTATCACACTGATATATTTTAATCATAATAGTTAATTGTTTAAAAAATCTAATACCAAAGTTGTGAAAACTGTGCCAACGAGACCCGATCTCCCCTACTAGCAAAAAGTTACTATGTTATTAGCACCAATTACCATCGAATACTTAAGTCTACAATGCGCGTTTTGCGCCGCATTTTTTCGCAGTCAAAGGATTAAAACGTGTATACGTAATCACATATAAGAATATAATATTCCGCATAATGGTAACAGACTAAATAGAACAACGAATCAAATGCTTGTCCCAAAATTAGTGGAATGCACATGATATCAATTATGTTCTTTTTTATAATTTGAGGCGGATTTTTGATTGGTCAAAAACAGCCGCTATATTCGAGATGACTGCGCATCCTCTCTCTCGGGAATAGAATATCTTATATTCTTATTACTTATACGACACTAAAGTAAGAGAAAAAAGTTGCTGTTTCAAAAAAATATTGATTCACAACTAAATGCAGCGTTCGGCGGGCTGTCAACCAAATATTTGTTAATTCAAATAAGTATAATTTGTTAATTCAAATAAATAATATGTTGACATAACACATCACATAATCACATATATAATCATATAATCACACATGTTTTACTTGAATATATAAATATTAAACTAAATGATCACTACACTGAAAAAAATGCGTGTAATTTTACATGGAAATTACATGTCTACACTGAAAAAAAATTGGCTGCTGCAGCAAATTAGATGGCAGCAATTAATTGCATTAGCCTATCGAAATCCTATATTGACATTGCAGATAGGCTAACGCAACCGAAAATTGACTGCTGCAACCAATTAAAAATGCTATGCCATATTTTACCATCTAATTTGCTGCAGCAGCCAATCTTTTTTTCAGTGTATGACTGAAAAATTACCTAAATTACTTAAATATGATTGGAAATTTACAATTTCCAGCAAATTTCCAATTATATTTAGGTAATTTTCCAGTCATAGACATGTAATTTCCATGTAAAATTACATGCATTTTTTTCAGTGTACAAACTAATCCTACACTGAAAAAAAAGATTGGCTGCTGCAGCAAATTAGATGGTAAAATATGGCATAGCATTTTTAATTGGCTGATTGGATTGACTGTTGCAGCAGTCAATTTTTGGTTGTGTTAATCTATCGAAATCCTATACTGACATTGCAGATAGGCTAATGCAACCAATTAAAAATGCTATGCCATATTTTACCATCTAATTTGCTGCAGCAGCCAATCTTTTTTTCAGTGTAACTAAATCCATTTAGTTAACAACTTTTTTCTCAGTGATGTATATAATAACTAATATAACATGTTAAAATATTTCAAAAGTAATTTGTTTCACTTATATAAATACAACAAATTGTTAATAAAATCGAAGTTGTTAGTGTTTCGAGTATAGATTGAACCGGACATTATCCTTTCCAAATTTTATCCAAGCAAGTATAGGAAAGTGATAGGAATTCCATATTACCATCCGAACAAATAAATTAGTGTATGCTCTTACTATTACTCTGATATAAGGCACAACTAAAACAAACAAAGAACAAATCAATATATGGATACAATAAAATATTATATAAATATCTGTACAATACGTACGACACAAATAAAATAAATATTCACGATATTTCATAATTAACCAACTACGCCATCCAAGCTTTTTATCTAAAATATAAATTATTTTTGACAATTATACGTAATATAATATTAGTGTTGATGAAAGTAATTAAATAAAGGGTATCTAATCTTGCAGACAATAGTCGTTACAACAAACATTAAATCAAATCAAATTGAAAGATTATAATGATTTTAATAACTAATTTAGTTTCTAATAAAAAAGAAATGATCAATGAAATTGAAAACAACGTACTCAGCTTCGATGACATTGACCTAGACATATAATGTTAAGATTATGATCGATCTAATATGATATATCTAATAACGAGCAATGGTTAAAACATTGTGAAGGTCACTCGAAGTCATGAACTTGATTACGTACGTCAAGGTCAAGGCCATTCGATCTGAGTACGTTATTTTTAACAATTATCAAAAAAATATTCTAATTTGGATAACTTTATTTAACTTTTAATAATTTTTGACCTAACACATTACTTTGAAGTATAATAACACATTACTTTTTTTACCGGCAATATACTAGAATTAAATACTTGAAAAGAATAAAGCTATATTAATTATAAAAAAACAATAAATAGAAATTATTGAAATAAAAATTTCTAATCAATGTGAAATCAGTTGAATACTTACCTGGGAGTCCATGTATTTTATATGCGAATGCCATGAAAGCGTCTATATCTGCGGTCATATCAACGTACCATAATGCATTTAACGTATTTGACGCTACATCATGAAATTCAGGTGTACCGTTACTCAAATAAGTTGAATACAAATTTTTGATTTTATGACATAATTCGGTAGTTTCTTTTGCGTTTTTGCGACACAAATTCAATCTGTAGATGAGGACAAATAGGATTAATAAAATTACAAGTGTGTAATTTATGTGCACAATCTTCGTCAAAATAAATTATTTAAATTATGTCAGAGATTGTGTGTGTGTGTAATAGAATATATTAGACTTGAATGTTAAAACTTGCTTAGTAAAAATCAGAATTAAACAATGTATGCATTACTTATCAGTGATTCCTAACATATAAGCATTTACACGCCAGAAATGATTAAATGCTTCTTCTTCTTCCAATGTAGCGTTTAGTCCAAAAGACTTAGGTGTAGTCAAGATGTATCCCATAAAACCGAACTGTGTAAGTACCATATCTTTTTGATAAATTTCTCCAACACCAGCCTTCTTTGACATTCTGGTGCCCATTTTATGATGCCAACGAATTAAGTTCATCGATTTATACCATCTAGCAGATATTAAAAGTTTAAAAATTCATTCATGTTCCTTCTTATATAAGAAATTTTAATATTTAAATAAAATTTTGATTTAAACTTAATTCAAAGAGTACTTTCAGTGCGCGGTTCTAAATTTCTATACAATTCTACATCTAAAAGATCTCGCACTATATATAATTATATGGAAAATTGGATTTCGGTAAAATGAGTTTAGTTTTCATATAATGTACCCTGGTAGTAAGCTTACACCAAAATGACGTTAAAATGACGATAAAATGAAATAGCTGCTACCAGGGTAGCTTCTATAGTGTAGTGGACGAAAGCTGTCATAACATATACAAAACTTAATGGATAGTTTTTGAGCTACGATATCAAAGGTGCTGTGTGAGTACAAATTTGATACCTTTGATGCATTATAATTAAAAAATTATCCGTTATTAAGCCTTGTGTCTGTAACATCTTTTGTTAACGCATGATAAGTTACATTATATGCAGCTAGGGTGAATCGGAGGCGCTGAACCAGCTTTTTACCCAATGAGAAAATTATTGACTGCACATCTAATTATCGACTTAGCGGTATAGATCGGATGCGTGGATATGCATCGTACGAATTGTTGATCCGAGCGCGAAAATAAAGCCGTCTGTATTACCGATTAAATCGTAATCTTTGTATAATAAATACTTTTTTCTCTTTCACAGATTCGAAAATCCTTTTTCAGAATTAAAGCTATAGTTTTAAAAAAGCCGCTTTTTTCAAATTGCTGGAAAAAAACCGGAAAAATTTCGGTTTTTTTTTCGAAAAATTGGTTTTTTGGAAAAATTGTTGTTTTTGCTATGTAAAAGACATAACAAGTAACTTCTAAATTCCTTTATAAAATCAATGCGATCTATGAAATTATGTAGCATTATTTATATTAAAATTATTTAGTTATCCTTCTATTTTTATAATAAAATCTAATCTAACCTTCCTTTAGTACAGTGCGGAGCATTAATTCGCTGGGTCATAGTAGTGGCTGGACTTATCGACGCTGAGTCGGTAATGCTCAAAGCGCGCGCGCGCGCTTGAAATAAGAAGA